GCATGTGGCTTCTGTGTTTCAAACTCAGAGTAGGCATGCGTAAGCGATCGCATACCTGATGTGAGACTTGTGTGCGTTAATAATTGTGCATGTCTGGTGCATGCACGCCCACTAACTATGCTAGGTCTGAGCCCGGCTGTAAGGCCTGAAAGCTCCCGCTCTGTGTTTTCCTACCGCTGTTTGATCAGGCTGACAGGGGTTCATTGTTTAGGGCTGGCTGGTTAAACCTTTGTGAGTGCTGCTTGGCAGAGGAAAAGGCATTTCACGGAATTAGATACACAAATGATGGCTTAAATAAGGTCTTTCAACATATCTCTCACTCCAGGACCTGATCAAGACGAGTCACTGACCCTGTTAGCCAGGGTAACAATGATAACACCACTCTGTTATTCAAGGACCAAGACCAAAGCAGTCCAAGTGCTGCCTTAAGGAAGGTAATAAACCAGAAAACCACAAAAGTGATACACTGAAAATATACACCTATTTATAAGTCTGTAACTTTACCTTCAGCTGTCAGTGTTCTGGGAACAGAGGGGCACGCAAGTTATACAAATGAATGAGTTTCTAAAATTAGACCAGACAACGGTAACATGAGTGAAAACCTGCCATTAAATCAGTAACATTGGCTCAAGCCAAAACCACTGGGGCAGAAAAAGAAAGCCAAAAAACTGCAGTCCCTAAAAAGGCCACTGGATGCCCACGGCAAAAAGAGTGTCAATCGACTGTTTAAAAATCAAAGGGGTGCAAAAATTACAGAGATCCTCTAGATCGGCTTCAAAACTCAAATTAGAGAACGCATGGGTTATATCAGTGAGAGTATGTCTACATTTTATGCAACATGTGGTCAATTTCCATTAATGAAACTGTCCAACTTTATATCCGATGTTTACATACTGGTGTTTATGGTTTCTATTCATGAGAACTTCAACAGGTGATCAATAGGTGATTAGAAAATTTACCACCTTGAGGTTATATTAAGCCTTAAGGTTAGCAAAGAGACGAAACACAACTTACCCACTCTCTTCCAGTAGCTGTTTGTTTGTAGTGAGACCTCGGACCAGTCCATTACGGACTGCTGCGGGGGGACACAGCTCAAGGAAGAACATTTATGATCATTTCTTCATGGAAATGCAGTAAGACCGAGACGCTAAGGCAGAAGAACTACCGCGTCTGCAGTGCAAAATGATTAATATGATGATTATTCCTTCAAGGAAATGACAAAGAAAGGATCAGGTCTAACTCTGTGTTACGATATGTTTTAATTAATTTTATGCCAGAATATCCCTTTAATATTTTTTAATAACATACAACGTCAGTCAATAAATTATCAGATTAAATGTAGGAGAAACCATCACTAAGGGGGTGGCGTTAGTAAGAGGCCAGTATAGTGTTCTGTTGTAGAGCGTCACATACAGTACAAGCAAAGAAAAAGTGGGGTAAAATCAAAATCACAAAACATGCCTTTTCAATCTTTGTCAATGCCTATTTGAAAAAACCAGCACTGACATTTTAAGCTGAAACAGAGTGCAATGTTTTTCTGTTTTAGTGCCACCCAGTGTGAGGAAACACTTGCAGTCACGTGCTGAAAAGCCACATCAAATATTGTGAGCGCCAAAAATTCTCACGGGAGTCGTCTTGGAGTCTGAGGGACATCTCCCAGCTCTCCCTGGTTTAGCATGAAAGCGATTCATAGTCTGAGAACCTCAGAGGAAGTCCAGACTTTTGGAGTTTTTCCAAATACTGTGTCTGTGTGAGGCACAACAAAGGCCAGAGTCAAGTGCAGGTTAAGAGGGCTTAAAAACGTTGTGGCCAGACTGATTTGCAGTGTGAAACGGCTCCTCTGCGATAAAAACCTCACAGAGACCAATCCTATCACTTGAAAACAAATAGCAGATTGGTGAGGAAGTGTCTGCATATACACACAGACACGCATGTTGCACAATAGGAGGATCTCCCTGGTGTAATTATCTGTCTGTGGTGTTTGTAGCCAACATGGCCCACTCTGCAAAACCCACTTCCCCTCTGCTACAATGGACAGAAGCACAGAGGAGATAAAGACAGACTGGAAATACCTCAGGGGGCTCTGTTTCCCTTTTATCTTTCTGGTAAATATCTGTCAGTAGTGGATAGAAAGTCCTAAAACGCAGCTTAAATAAGAATGAAAAACATATTTTGCGATAATTGATTCCCAAAGATTTAGTGATTTTTGACAGTGGTTGCAGAAAAGAAAAACCATATGGAGAGCTCAGAGCAGAGAACGAAGAAAGGAGGAGGGATGGAGCTGCCAAAAACGCTGACTTGTCGTTCGCCTGCCCTCCTCATGTACCACCAAACAAGCTGAAAAGAGTGACCGACACCGACAGAGATAAGTCAGAGCTGAACTGGAAAAAACAGAGAATTGATTTTCCTCTTTGACTTTTATTTTATAAGGAAAGGTTACCGACACTTAGACACCTTTAAACTCTTTACTATATAAAGCTTCACTGCAGCTGCTGGGGGTTACCAAACTCATCTCAATATCGTGGTGTTAAAGACATGAGAGCATTACTCATTCTTTCCTGAACTAGATCTCCAAAGCGACTGCAGGAATCTAAGCCGGCATTCATCCAGCTACAAACCACATGGGTAGGCTTAACTGTAAGACCAATGGTCCTCATAAAATATATTAAAGGTGCTACTTGTAACATTTTTCTCAAAATTAGGACCACGTTTCCCATAAATCCATTGTTTCCTGTGGCATGTGAATGTGTTTAGAGAACTAAGGAGAAGAAACAGACCTTGATAACAGCTGAAACCACCATTTTGAATTAATAAAAAGTGCTGGTGTGATTTGTACACAATAAAACAGTTTATTTGTAATGCCTGACAGCTATTGGTTACACAAAACATCCCCTACCACCTGATGCATGCAAATAAACCAGCTCCAACCTCTTGCATAAGGATTAGATATTCAGTTCGTTGGATGGCACTGACAAGTCTATCAGGTATTCATCCATCTCTTTGCTTAAAATCATATTATCTCTGCAATGGGGAAAAAAGTACAATGAAATTTATACAAACACTCATAGTGACTCTGAGAATATACAACTCTGGACCTGCTTGTAGTCATTGCATTTTGCTTATTTTACACCTACTTTTACTTCTGCTACATAAGAGCTATAGTAACTTTACTTGTCTTTGTCTATCTAATTTAACTAGTGGTGTGCATGTGTAGATAACTAAATATTGAGACCCCATTACCCTCACTAGTTGGCGCTTAAATTCCTGGATGGTTAAACATTATGAATATAACTGTTGGCCAAAATGTGTCTAAGATGTCGCATAGCCACTGGACAGGGCTGTAACTTAAGCTAACAGCTAGCGCCATAACACTATAATGCTCTACTTGTGGTTGGCTGATTAGTTTCTCACTGGCCAGTACAGACAGTGATAATAAGAGAGCAGGATGACTGATGGCTGAGATATATTTTCGATATTACGTTTTTGTTTGTTTTTTTTAACAATTCTTTTTAGTTTGTTTCTATTTAATTTAATTCAATTTAACAGTTCTAACAAAAAAGACACAAAAGAGATGAACTTGAGTGCATTTTAAAAATTAAATGCAATGGAAAACCACTTGGCTTGGTAAATTAATACCACAACAGACTTGGGAAATTCTATCCAGCCATCTGAAATGTTAAAAAAAATCATGCAAAGAAAACACTGTGTTCAAAATAAAAAAGATTTACATATAGTATAAAACCATCATTCCGGGTGCATTAATATCCCATATGTTTTGTAAGCATAAAAAAGCAGATATATTTCAGAGAGCTCTGCTAATGTTAGCCACACTCAACAAGCCATGTTAGAGCCTGATATGTAACAATGACCGGAAATGTTATTAAAAAAATGTAACAGAATCCAAAATGAAACAACATTTTCCCCAAAATGTATCAACTTGACGCTGTTATTTCATTTTGGGTTTTATCACATTCTATTGACTGTTTTCTAAATGTTTTCTTCCTTCTTTCTTACCATGCCAACAAAAACTGACAATAGAGGCTTCGTTAATGTAGAAATTATGGTGGAGCTGTTGCATTGACTTGAATTAGGTGGCACAGGTGGTCATAATGTTGTAGCTGATCAGTGCTTTCATAATAAAGTATTGTATCTGCACATACACTCAACAAAAACTAGAACACTCTGCAAAGCTACACCAACCTGCCTCATTCATAAAAACACCTTTTTTAAAAAACGACCTTTTGGTATGTTTTCATTCACTTAGGTCATCACTGGAATGTCGACTGTAACACCAGCCTCAGTGTGCAAGTGTGTTTTCATGAGTCATTTTGTGTACATAAATTCTCACATTTCTCAGCATTACCTGAGATGATGCCTGGACCCTGATTAAAGGACAGCTGATATCCTTACATCACTGGTTACCATGGTAGTTAATTGGCACAAATTACCCAGCGTGTGGCGGTCATTTCCTCGTTAAGTGCTTTGGGAGGTCGCAGAGGCTAACGTTACACCAATCACACGCAGTGTTCTCAGTCAAATCCTCAGATTACAGAGTTTCAGAGCAGTCTGGGGAGGATCAAAAGAGCCGGTTATTTTCAGTTTGTTTGTTTTTTGTTTGGTCTTTTTCCCCTCTTTCTGAGTTTTGGTGTCACTCTCTAAAATTAGACATCACTTCTATCTTTGTAGTTTCTCTACTTTTCTGTGATGAGCCTGATTTTAGATCCCCTTTTTCTATCCCCAGAGAAATCATCGTCACATCTGTCTTCTCTAAAAATGCTCCTTTCTCCCTCTCTCTTTCTGTGATCTCCAATTTCAAACTCATCTTTGTGCCCCCCCCTTTCTCATCCGATCCATTCTCTGTGTTTCATTCCATCATTTATCCCTGTGCAAGTTTCTTTCTCTGACTTTTTCCCCTTTGTCTTTCTTCCCTCTTGATTGGGCCGCTCGAGGCATGCAGTAAAGAACAAATGATTGCAGTTTTATGATTGTACAAGCAGAGGAGTGTGGTTTGAAGAAGGAGGGAGCAGCAGAGTTTAAAATTTAGGGAGAGGTATAGAGGGAGGATTGAGGAATGGTTTGAGGTGATAACAAGCGAGGACAAAGGTACAATGAAAATGAAAAAAGCTATTTTCATCTGACGTCATGCTGCAGGTGTAAAATCCATGAGTAAGAAAATATTTAGGAAAGAGTCAAAATTGAGCACAATTTAAAAGGGATATTCCGGCGTAAAATTAAGTTTATTAAGTATAACTAGAAAAGCAAGCAGTCGGCAGCATTCATCTCTCGACCAGGTGTCTAATTCGGTGTTACGGTGTGTTTGACCCTAACTTAATTTAATACCAGAATATCCCTTTAACAGTTTAACATTCGTCTGATCACAGGTACATCTGTGCCAGGTATGCATAGTGTAGTCTACTTTCAGCTTGTAGCAATAAAGGCACGAACATGTATTAGGTTTCCTGAAGTGATTTACATTCACCTGCAGGCTAAAACCTGTTGGTTTGACAGTATTTACCACGAGAAAGTTGTGACAGACAAATGGCTGCTCTGAGAATATGAGGCTGGAGCTGGAACAAAAAAAAAGATGAGATGAAGGAGACTGCAAAAAGGTACGGAAAGGAGAAAGCTAAGGAGGTGTGGCCGAAGTAGGACAGGTGAAGAGGCAGGACAGGTGAAGGTGGCCCAAAAGGTCAAAACTGTTGTATGAGCTGGCATTTGATCAAAAACTTCAACCAACTGATTACCTTCCCCAAGCTGGATGATTTAAAACTCTTTACAGGGTAAAAAATGTGAAAAACGATTTAGGTTGTCATAACATTTATGGAGGAAAAAGTCTAAAAGAATGATGGCTTCTCTACCAGCCTCACCCAGAGAGATGTTTAATGTGCACCAATGTCTGGATGACTAATGATGTTTTCACTGTGGCTGAATTTGAAAAAAAAAAAAAAAAAAAAACTGTTGAATTTCTTTTCCTCTAATTTTTTTTTGGCCGGATTTCAAAGCTGCTTCGACACGCCGCGTCTCCCAGGATGCGATGGAGCAAAGTTATACAGAGACCGACACATGCACACGTACAGCATAAGCCTCAGGCTCCACAATGCCTGCATGCTCATTCAGACATATCTCATACTTATAAACAAACGTCAACCTAGATCCTGAGAGATATTTCAGCCAACACACGTACACACACTTCCTCACACACACACACACATTCATGGCTTTAAAAATGTAGACATATAGTTGGGTATAATTTCCAGTGTGTTGAGTGATACAGACCACATAGGAAGGGAATGTTTCTGCTTTACATCCATTTTAAATAATGAAAAGTCAAACTGAAAGCCCACACACATGCCACCTGCTAACACACACACACACACACTGTACTGGTTTCTGTGCAAGCTCATTCATATAAAGCACATGTATAACTTCGCCCGCACTCTTATCTGATGTGTCTCCTGATTTTATCATATTCGATCATTCCTCCTCGCTGTGTTCAGCCCTGTGTTTCATCATTCTCATGCTGGTTATGAGTTTCAGAGCTTATTCCAATGGAACTTACTCTAAAGCTTTCATCGTCGGTCCAGGTGTTTGTATGATTTCCATCTCCCACTGCACTATAGACTGTCAACCACCATGAAAGTCAAGACCTCTGAACTCTGAACTGTATCACAAAGATATGTCTGATGTCTCTAAAGCAAGAGAAGTCAAAATGTGCTTATTCGGCATGGTTTAACATGTTTGTACTTTGAAATCCAACTCTTTTTTATCCTGGGTCACTTACACTTTAACTTCCGTAGCTCTAGTGTTTCCTGTCATGTATTTACAGCTGTGAAATATTCCATGTTTGGTTAGGTGGAGGTATTATGACTACTTAGTGAGGCAGAACGATAAAAAGTGATGCAGGTTAGAGTTATCGCTTTAACATTACTTGATGCTCTAATGAAGCTCTAACTACTTAGTGACAGTTCAGCATTGTTTGACCCCATTTTGAAGTCCAATCCCCCCTCCATACTAACATACTAGCTCCCCTTCAGTGTCTTTTTTGTGTTGGGTGGTCTGTATATAGGGTGACCATACGTCCTCTTTTATCCAGACATGTTTTCTTTTGGGGGGGGCTGTCCGGCCTACTTTCAAATGTCTGGGGTTTGTATGGAAGTTTTGAGTTTGTGTAGCGTGGACTAACTAAGATACAAGCGTGTAAAAAACACTCGACTCAACCCTAAAAATTTTGCGTGCGACCCGCCCCGTGTAGTAGTGTCCTTTTTTGGGGGATTCAGAATATGGTCACCCTACTTTATGTGCGTTCTGACAGGCTAACACTGCGACAGAAATATTAAAAATTGAGTTGGTAAAAGCCACAGCCCAAACAGACACCCAAGAGCTTTAAAGAAAACATCCAGTCTTGATCCTGTTTCTTTTTCTAACTCCTGGTGGAGGCTCGTGTGACAAAAATCCTGCCATTTTGAAAATCTGTGTTCTTAATCTCAGCTGTTCAAATCTGTCTGTGTTTACAAAAGCTAGCTTTTCATTTTACCCCATAGGAAATTAAAATTTCGGTACAAGGTCTGCTTTTTGTTTGACGCTAGTTTAAGACAAAAGTTCAACTTCTAGGCTCTTCCTTTTCCACTTCCTCTTGTATTGTAGAAGATTTAGAAATATCAAAATCATCTGGACACGTGAAAACTGTTGTGCAGGCTTGTTAAAAGGCAATCAAAAAAGGAGGGAAAAATTGTAAAAAAATAAAATAAAATAAATAGTTCTAAAACAGCCAAGAGTGTTGAGTGAAAGCTGGAGGCAGAAAGACCCACGGGAGCTTTTATGGTTGTGAAGCACAACAGCACAATAAGGTTTGTGTTAAAGTCTGTGCTGAGCAGCAGAAACTCTGTTGATATTGATTACAAATCAACACAACACTTCAACGTGTTCAAGGTTATCATCGCACCAAAGAGACTGTTCTCTGATTTAAGACCCTAAGTACATGAGCAAAGTTTATTTTTATTGCTTTTAGTTTCAATTAACTCTTCAAAGAGACTCGAGATCCACATTACAACAAATTAATGAAGATGAGGACTGCTGGAGGTCGAAGGTTGGCTGGATTCCCCTCTAAATAAATTTACCTTTAAGGCTCATTAAGCCAATCTTGTAGATGAGACAGTAGATATCTTCATGTAGGAACAGGCCCTGGAAATACTTTGAGTGTTGGCAGTCCTTCCACTTCATTACTGAGACTATTATAGACCTGATTGACCTGATATTTTTATCCACTGAATATAATGAGCAAAGGAAAAATTGCTTAAGAGCAAAGTTGTGTTGCGTACAGGTAATTCTAGCCAGAATGAGAGCATGGCAAAGACACACACCCAAAGAGGAGTGTCATACACAAGGAGGAACATTTCATCATTCCTGTTGCATAATTTCAAGGAAGATGTGTCAGGATGAAATAACGCAAGAAAAATCACGAATCGAGCTTCATCATAAAATATCCGACCCAACCTTCAGGGAGTTCCTTGACCACCCTGATGACGGGTTTACACGATCGCACGTACGAGCAAGGTTAGTTTACACCAGCATCTCAGAGTCCGTCTGATTTATCAAAGGAGTGATCATAGTCCTGACACAACAAGCAACATATTTACAGAAGAACAGCTGCCTGACCTCATTCTATCGAACTGGATCAGGTGGAGGAGATCAACTTGACGTTCATACTTCCAGTAATTTCTCTATTTCCTCAGATCATAAGTGTTCAATTAGTTTGCGGTAGGTCTGGTTGAGGGGCTGACCCAGGCCACGTACAGTCTGTGGTCAATTACTCAATGCATATTCTCTCTCTCTTTTTCTCTCTCGTTTCTCATGTCCATAGATGTTGAAGGTTAGAGAGCTGATAAAAAATAGTAAAAACTCTCAGAAATGCAGCATCTCAGGGAGACTAGATATCCTTTTTTATAAGAATGGAGCCAGAAGATGTTTTCTAATCTAGTACCTTATCATTGATATAATTGATGTCCTGTTTATGAAAGCCAAATCTATAATTGATCAAACTTTACAAACCATAAATACAGCCTTCTTTAACAACGAAGACTGAAATAATGCAAAATACAATGAGCGCAGGTTATACAAAAGGCCTCATGAGAAGGAAAGTGACTGGAAGTGTTGCATTCAGCAGGTGAGAGGATGCATTTACTGTCATTTTTTTATCACTATGTTGGGTTCAGTACTTTGTTCTGATGAGTCAAACTTTCTAACAACAAGGACTTACTCTCAACTAAAGATGGAAAGGCATTTTTTTTTTTAGTACTAACTATGATTGGTCAACCACAACTTGTAACAGCAAAAACAACACTGGGAACAACCTGATAACATGCAAATCTAAAGGAAAGAAGTTTATCACCACTGCTTGTTGACAATGTGGCAAAAAATACTAAACTACAGAGGGAAAAAACCATAACCATAATTTTTCAGAATTATAAATAAACCATTATTTAACCAATAAAGGAGCTTTGAATCAATATTTTTGTCAATTTGTTCAAGTTTTGGGTTGGCTGTAATTAATATCCAAGAAGGCAGGTGGTTAAGGACAAGACAAGACCCCAACATTTTGTGTCTGAGTCTGCTCGCCCTGGACTCTAATTTGCATATCTCCCAGTTCTCTTTCTATACTGCATGGAGCTCAGACCAAAATGAAGTTGACCTTAAAAAGGATCAGTTGTGTTTGTGTTCTTTGTTCGTGACTGAGAAGTATGAACATGCATGACTACAAGTGCAAATATGAGACGGGTCAAATGAAATGATTAAATGCATCATGTGCAGCAGCAGGTGCATGAACTACTCTCCTCCTCGAGTTAAAAATTCACATTAAATCTGTAATCAGGAGTTAATTTAACATGTTTTTCCGTTTGATTCATTTTTTTTCTTTGTGTTTTTATTATGTGTGACTGATCGCTACCATTAAAGATAAATTAAGCTCCAGGTATCGTTTTCAATATGCACTTGGGAAATCGAAGTGTGCCGCACACAAGCTCATTTCCTTTGTTTTCCGCTCTCTCTTTTCCTCAGTCTATCAATCTGCATTTAGGTATTTTATTTTCACATTATCCAAGTTTGCTTCTCTTTTTACCTTCTTCAATTCTCTCATTTTTCTTTCATGTCTTTTGTCTGTTCTCTCCCCTCCTCTCCCTCTCCGGTTTCATCATTCCTCTGATTGTTGCCGTCAAAGAAAAACTAACAGATTACACCCAGATGTAAGCACTCAGAGTTCAAGCGGCAGGGTGGGTACATGTAAGAAGATTTTGACCAGATTTATTCCCAATTAGAGAAACACAAATAACATAAATCCAAGAGTGTGTCATAGTTTTTCCTCGGAGGCTCGACTAATCCAAAAATGCACCGCCGAGGGGAACGTTTAGTCCAATTAGTTAAGGAAATCTTGCAGGCCAAGTTTGTGCTTTGTCGGAGTTGAGGTAATATAAACAAATGGCTCATGAAGTACCTCTCCATTAAAGTTCACATTATGAACTCGTTTTATTGCAAGGCTGCCAGCGCTGACACAAAAGCACTTACTCTGAAGTCAAGTCTGCAGCAGGAGTAAACAAATAAGTGGGAGAGAATACATAAATTTATAAAGAGCATGAAGTATAATGAAGACATGAGTAAAGAGGCCAAAATGGTGACGTGAGAGGGTGAAGTATGAGGAATGTAAAAACATGAAATAAATGACCTACGGAGAGAAAAATGTGACCCTGTATTGAAAGGATAAGATGAACACATACAGTTGAGTGTATTAAGTTTACTGGGCAAGTGTGAGATAATTACATAAAATACAATAAGTCAAACAGTGCATATGAGCCATGATATAAATACTATCTGCTTATAGTTCTGCTTGCGCTTGCAAAAATACTCTAAGGTAAAGTCTAACCAAGTATCGCATGTTTGCATCAGATATCTTCCTGTTATCCGTCGTGATAAAATTGGACAACTTTCATTGCTAAAAAAGTAAAATTGCAATTTACTGTGCAGCCAGAATAAAACATTCCCACATTCAGGATTCAAAATGTGCAGCAGATCAACTGTACGAGTCACTAGATACCAATAATGCTCATATCGATGACAGCATCAATGCAGCCACGCCAGCAGGTGGAAATAATCTGTAAATAGTCATGTGACCTTTGACAAGAAGCATGGATGAGAAAAATACTACTCCCTGTTTCATGGCAAAACACCACATCCAAAATACCAGGCTGAAAGCTTAGAGCAACTTTTTATCTTCTTCCTGTCTGTAACACAAATTCTAATCTGGAGTTAATTTAGTAAAACTCCTCGGACAAGTTCATTCAAATAGAAAACCCCCAAATTTTGACTTTTAACTTAAGTTTTCTGACTTCCTGTTGGGTTTAGGGTATTGGTGCAAGAGACATTTTTGTAGGTCTTAGCATGATATATTCACCCTGTGATTTTCATGCATGTAGGCGAAACAAGACCCTACAGGGAGGGCAATTTAAAACCTTTAGGGGGTGCTATTGAGCATGATTTGTTCAATGCTAATCTCTGGATTCCAATGGGGCTCCCAGTGCTTGGGCCTTTGTAATCATAAGGTACAAGATTGAAGAGATCTCTTTATTGAAACCTCAACAACACAAATATTCCTTACTCATAATCATAATACCTCAACCAAAAAGTCCTTAACCACAAACAGTATTGCCTTTTTCAAAAGATTCAGGTCATCTTCGTGGGAGCTCCAGGTAGCATTGATGCTAATACTACCTTTCCTATCACATGGCCCCCAAAGCCAACAAATAAATGAGGTTATTGAGTAGGCATCTCTTTTCTCTGATGTTTCATCGGTTTAGACCCGTGACATTTTCTGGAGTCACCTCCCAGAACCACTCCAGCTCTCTCCACCACATCAACCAAGCAGCTATTCCTGGTGCCAACATGACTCATGACTCTTACCATGCCTCACATAAGGTGCCAACAGAAAGTGCAACAGGGTATCAGCAAACAGTGCTGCAGAATTATAACCTCCAAGCTGTCAAGTGTTTATCAAGATTAATTCCTGTTTACACTGTTAAAGCCAGTGAAGTCAACGCTGATCCAAGTTTTGATTCTACAGACAGAAGGTCCAGGCCAAGGCCTCAGCTGCTTACCAAACACTAAACAAACAATACCTGACTTTGGCAACACCTCACAAAAAAAACCCAAAAAGCATCCTGTCTTGATTAAACAAGGATTATTTTAGTCCTCTTTCGCAGTTAAAGAGTCATTTTAAGAATGTTTGGCTTTGCACTTACCTTTTTGAAAATATGATAGTCCTTAGCAGTCCTCCTTAGACTCTGTTTCTGTGCGCCTCGACTCTGGGAGAAGTTTGTCCAGTCTGCTGTTTCCTCAAGGCCCAGCAGAAATGCACCACATGCTGAAGGAAAAGGCCGTTCAGTGGTTTTAGGAGTCTACCCTGGAGGATCCACCATGAGCATGTTGGCATTTAGATAACTAGCTAGCTAGCTACAGCAATGGTTATAAGATGGTTCAGTATATGGTGTAATATTCATGTTCATTTGATTTGATGGGCTTTTTTTCACATCCTGTGTGGAGAGCTCTTTAATCCATGTCCATTTCCCTCCTTTTTTTTCTTGTTTATCTGTAGTTAGGGGACCAGCTTAGGGGTGCACTAGCACCACCAACTGGACTGGAGTATGAAACAGGAGATTCTTCTGTCTCTTTTTTTAAGTTTTTTGGCAGATTGCAAACCAATGCTGAGGTGCATTTGGCCACCTAGTGTGCAACATCAGAGCTGTACTTCAGGTTATAGTCTTAATATACAGTACAAATTTATTTTATTTTTAGTTGTACTTTGTTAAACTATATCTTTAAAACATTAAAAAGCCTTAACACAATTTTTTTTTCTTCACTCAACCCCTCAATGCCTCCATCCCCTTCCTAATTCATATATTTCATTTTCAGACTTGTACGCAGCACACCTTGAAAAAACATGATTAACCTTTTCAGAGACCTCACAAACAACACCTTTATGGTCATTTTGCCATTAAAAAGGAGCTATCTAAGGCCAAAATGTAACCTTGAATAAACCAACCTCCCCTCTTATGGAAACCTTTTTCCTTTTCAGTTTCTGTGTTCTGCAACAATGCCTCCCTGTGCGATCTGCATCCCATCTCTACCACAGATCTCCAGCTGCTTTTCTCATAAATGATTTGGCCTCACTGTCAGAACTGTTTTGCTCAGCTTTTTGCTTGTGCTGGCACTCTGTAACTTCAGAGGTTGTTAGTTTTGCAATGTGGTTCAGCCTTACTTTGTGAAATACAGAGACAACAAATAACACAAGCATGAAGGACACACTGACACCTTGTTCGATTGAGTTTTGGCAAATCACACGCTCTGCTGCTCTGACCATCTTCACTGTCCCCTCTGAGGGGTTCATCAGCCCACCAGTGTTTCTAAGCTAAAGCAGGCGGTAGCTCTGGTCAAAGGATGAGGGTACAGCAT